CAGTCATTAATTAAGTTCTTTTAGTTTAATTTTTATTATTTGATTACTTACATCTTTTAAATTATCATATTAATCATTTAAGTTTTAAACAACAAATTTACTCTCAAATTAATTTAACATATAAAATATTTTGATAACCTGACATGTATATGTAGTTAAATAAGAATAAATTAATTATCAAATTAGTTTAATTTTTGTTATTGGTCCATTACTTTGTGCTTCATTCTTTTTTTCCTGAATTTGTTTTATCTAAATAATTGAACTATTTTCATTAATTTATATGATGCCTATTGAGATTCTATCATCCATGTCAGCAAATTTTAAAAGTTACTCTATTCATTAAAAAAAATATAAAGTATTTTTAATTAATCTCACCTTGATAAAAGTAGTTATTTATTTTTAAACTAATATCATCTTTTCATGTTTGTCCTTGTTTAACACAGTGTTTATTATTTATTATAGGCATTTTTGAAAAAAAACACATTAAAAACATCTCAAAACACAAAAAAAATGTTTTACATTATTTAATATCTAACTCTTTAAAAAATTCTTATATTTTTTTAATAAAAGGGGTATACCTCATACTCAAACAAGGGTTAAATGATGAAAATATTTTGAAATTTTTTGAACGAAACATTAGATACCCCTTACCTTTTAATTGAAATAGCATTGCTCTAAAAGTTTTTAAAATAGTGTAATACCACTCTAATGTTAACTACTATTATGTTGATTATCACATCACTCGTTTGACCAAAAAAATCCACAGGTGGCAAGTTAAATTTAAATGGGATGAGTTGGACATATGTAGCAAAAAAAAATTGCAAGTGAGTTGAAAGCTTCCGTCAAACTAGGTTTTTAGAGATTGAAAATAGGGCTTTGAATCCCATGGGACAATGAGGGTTTCGAACTAGGTTTCTCTCTCTCAGTTGCTGGTGAAAATTTGAGAATGGGCGAGGAGGATAAAGGGAGATAGAGATGGTCCAAATCTTGCTCTCTCTCTCTCTCTCTCTCTCTCTCTATTTGTCTCTCCAGATTCAAGAAATGGTTAAAGGTTAGGGTGATTAGATTCATGGATTGTGTGAGTGAAAAATGTCAAATGAAGACAAATTGTTGAAGGAAGCAAGAAGTTGCTATGGGATGATAGGTTGTTTCATAAGAACTAAAATGTGTGGAGGCCAACATTGATTTGGCAACACCCTACAACTCCATCTTTGATCTCAAGGACCATCGCATATATGAATTTGGTGAGTTTTCATCTTCCATCTTTGAATTCAATAGTAGGTTGGTTTTCAATCCCTACATGTAGTGCCAAGAATAGGAGCTAGGTCTAACGAACTGCCTATATAAGCCCATTTTTATAAGGGTTAGAGCCTAAAAAAAATCACTTTTTAGAAAAATTAAGCTTTGAAACCCAGCTCTGATAGGCCCTACTTGGTTGGCCCTTTTTCATTTAACTCTAAACAAATAAAAATACTTTAAAATATATATTTATACTTTAAAATTTGATTTTCTATTATTTACTTTAAATTGTTTTAATATTACAATTTGTATTTTAAAAAACAAGAAATGTTATAATTAAAATTTTTAATTTTTAAAAATTTAAAAAAGGGCTTATGGACCCAACTCTGAGCTTTTTAAATAAAAATTAAGTTTCAAAAATCAAACAAATTTTTAAAAAATTGAGCTTAAAGACTTGGTTCTCAAGGGCGAGCCCAACTCATTTCTCACCTTTACTGCATGGTGAATCTAGCTATTTTCCTGAGTGTAATGAGTAGGTAGTGTGGTGCATTTTGGTATGAATATTGTTTAATTTTTATTTTTGAATTTGCAAGTCATTTTTTTACAAAACTTGTGGCGGACTCTAATGTACTAGTACGGGAGAAGGTGCTTGATGCATTAAATACTTACTTGTGAGTGGCCGATGTTGATGCTAGAATACTTATATCTGATGATGTTTAATATGCTCGTTATTTTTCTTTCCCTTGCATGCCGTGCCATCCATAATATTTCCTTATTAGCTGTCATTATGGGGGGAACATGAATTTGAAATTTGTATCGGTATATTGAAAAGTTTGTGATGACATTATAGCTAAGTGTTTGATTAGAAGGTCAAAGACAATAATAAAACTGTCAATTAAGGTCAAGTCTATCGAATCGACCTTTTAAGCCAAAAGAATTTAAGACTTGGCCATTATTTTAGAATATAGAATGATAATTCAAATTTAAAAAGGTTAGCCCTTTTAAGCCCTAAAATAAAAAGGCAAGCTCTTTAGGAATAGGGTCGACCTTTTTAAGCCTTTTTATAATTTTTTTAAAAAATAAAATATTAAAAAAATTAAATACTACACTAATCTTAAAACCCTAACCTCATTTCACAAGGTTAAAAAAAAATATATGACAAGCTTAATATTTTTACCATTAATGAGATTTCACAAAGAGAAGGATGGAATTATATTAATGTTGATGACAATGAAAATCATTAAAATTTCACTGATGATGGCAACAAAATCTGATTGTTATCGGTAATGATTTTGTGATTTTTTTTATTAGACTTAAATTTGCCTTTATAGATTCAATGTTATGTGTAATAACTTTTTTGAAATTTTAAATATTTTTTTAAAAATTTTAAATTAAAATATATATATATATATATATATATAGAAGACCGACTCTTCAACCTTAAGGGCTAGGGTCGGATTGACCAAAATGGAGCCCTAAAGTATAATTAAATTTTATAGGGTCAATCCGTTTAGGCCCTAGCTTTTTAGGACTGGCCTAACTCTAATTGATACTTTTGGATAATAGAGACAGTTCATGTATCCCTTGTGCTTTGAGTAGAATTGAAAGTAACAGATGCTTTTTTAAATTTTCTCATTCAAATATGCAATTGTCATTGAATGGTTTTCTTTTTCTTTGATTTATCTTACAATTCACTTCAGTCCTCAAGTTTACAATATTTAGTTGGGTTTGATTAGCGGTGGGGTAATGGAGGAGAGGAGATTGATGAAGGAGGATATGGTTTTTTTTTTTGGAAAAATTATAATAGAGGACTTAGGAATGACATTTATTGCAAACAAAGACCAAACAATTTTGAAATAGCTCTATATAACTACAAAACTTAAATGCAATTAAAATTTGCTGTGAACAAACAAAATTACCTCTCATATATACATATATACAATTTTAACAATGATTCCTTGTTCGAAAAAAAAGAGAATCCTATTTTCATTTTAAGAATAATTAATTTTTTTTATTAACAATTTCAAAAAAGTTAACTCAACGACAAAGGTAAATAAGTGTTTGTGACTTGACGGACAGTCTTATTTTCATTTTTAATATCAATCAATTCCTTCATTACTAACTTCAAAATATTAACTCGGTGGTAGAGAGGAAGTGTTTGTGATATGGTGAATAAGTTCTTATTTAAAAAAATGTGTTCATTTTAATAATAATCAATCTCTCTATCACAACAAAATGTTTGTGTGTGTGTGTGTGTGTGTGTGAGGGGTCTTCTTGTCTTTTCATAGCAAATTTTAATCACAATTAAGTCTCTTAATCTTACAGGACAATTTCAAAATTATTTGATCATTGTTTATGACAAATGTTCTTCTCAAGTCCTCCATTGTGATTTTCTTTTTCTTTTTTCTTTTCACTTGTGTTATCTACTTCACTACATTGACACAAAAACCTTGTCACTTGGCATCTGTTAGTCAAACTAAATTATTTAATTGTCAAAATTAATGTTAGGATGACAATAAATCATTTTTAAAAGTTTTAAAACAACATTACTCTAACTAAAATGTAATGATATTCGTGATTCTTTTAAAAAATTTGCAGGGACATTTTATTCTTTAATCCTTTAAACAATAAAGATCAAATCAATAATTGAGGGATCAAATTAATAAAAAATTAAAGAAAATTAATCATTTAATTCTTATAGTTTTGATCTAGTTATAATTCAGTTCTTGAACTGTGACTTGTTATAACTCAGTTTTTAAAGTTTTGACTCAATTATAAATCAATCCCTAAACTTTGCCTTTTACAATTTAGTCTCTGAAGTTCAACCTCTTAAATATTGATCCCTATATTTTAAAAAATAAAATTATAAAAATTAAAATATTTTAAACTTTTAATATTTATAAATATTGAAATGTTTTTGTAATTTGAGATATTAGTAATAAATTTTAAAATATTTTTAATTTTTATAATTTTATTTTTAAATATAGGGACCGATATTTAAGAAGTTAAAACTTCAAGATTAAATTACAAGAGGTAAAGCTCAGGAATTAATTTACAATCAAGTCAAAACTTTAAAAATTAAGTTATAATGAATCAAAATTCAGGAATTGAATTATAATTATATTAAAATTACATGGACTAAATGATTAATTTTTTAAAAAATTAAATTTGAAAGAGTGAATTGATAAATGAGATAAACTTGGCTCAAAATTTGGCATAAAACTCTATATATGTTTGAAACTCACCATTCTAGTTGCCTGAAAGGCACTGTATTATTGTTTGATGGGTCTACGACAATGAACCGTGTCAATTGCCTTTGATTTGGAGAGTAGAAATAATACACTGTATGATATAAAAATAAAAATAACGAAAAAGATCGTCAAGTTTTCCATATATGTTTTCCGAATGTTTTCCCTAAAGATTTCATAAATATCAAGTTCTGACTTCTGACCACGTGATTTGTTGTGGCATGATACAAAGGGCGAATTCAAACAAAACCAAACAATGATAGACAGATACGGCAGGGGATGATCAAGAACTAGGAGGAGAATCAATTCTAGTAGCACATGAGTCTGCTAGAAAACAAAATTCTGGTTGGGGAGGATGAAGAAGTGTTTGTAAAAGATTGAAGATGCGATATTGAGGGTTTTGCATTGCGCCAGTTTTCCATCAAGTTAATCTCTGTACGTATATTATACCCAAGTACCTGTACTGATGCTCTAGGTTTCACCACTATACAAAATATCTTTCATCCAAGACTGAACAGGAAAAAACACGGCTTCACGACTCTTGAGTATCCAATATTTTTGACCCAATCGTTAAATCTACTAAGATTACGAGATATTAACCGGGTGCCAGCGTCAGCACCCGAAAATGACAGCGCAATAGTATAGATTTTCTATCCACATATCAAAAGTAGTCTCCTTCACTTTTAAGTCTTAGCTACAAAGATTCTTTCTTGAGTGATTTGTTTTCAAGCTGCTTGACCTGCACCAGCATTGTCATCGATCAGAACCACCGGCAGCAAAGATGTATGCGGAGGCTTTAGGCTGTTTCTTTTCGTGCAGAGAGACCTCTTCGGCAATGGCCACTCCCAGCTGGATCTCAAAAGCAGCTTTAATCGGACCCAATTTCGTTATCAGTACAAGTATGAAAGCTGGAAGAGCTTTCCCCGTTTGCCGCTGCAGCTTGGACTCCAAGTCAGTCGACGGCGATGTTTTCTCGGTGACGCCGTCGCACAAGTATGACGTGGACTATCTTGGACAGAGCACTAAAGGGGATTTGAACGTCAAGTTCGAGCATCTTGAGGCTTTTGGTGCGATCCCAAACTTTACCTTCCCTGCTTGTCTCCCGCCCTTTTGCCGTTCAATTTCCCTTTGTAATCTGTCATTTTCACTCTTTCACCTTTTTTAAGCTTTTGGGTGTGCTGTTTTTTTTTGAAAAGCTTGATTGAAGGGTGTTTCTGAAGCTACTTTCTTCTTTCTTGTTCAGTTGCAAGCAGCTTCTTTTTGAGATTTCGCTTATATTTTGCTGTAGTGGTGTGGAGGAGGAACGCATAACATTGCCCCTCAGTCTTCTCATTCAATTTATAACCCTTTGGACACGAATAAAACTGCACGTTCTTATTCCGCTGTAGTGTGGTGGACCTATTTTAACATTTCTCCTGTATATAAATAATTTCGTATGTTACCTCCTTAAAACGGTCATGCTACTGCACTGCTCTTTATTTCTTTATATACCTAGTTGTACTAGCTTGGATGAGTATGATCTTATTGAATCTGTTTGCAATGTATCTCTTTGTACCTTTGGTCATACCGACTGATTATTGTCGTCGGGAATCTAAATTAATGTTAAGTTTCTCATGTAGGAAGTGATGGCCATGCCACGTTGGAAGGTCCAATCGAGGAAGTTGCCAGAACAGAGGCTAAAGAAGCGGAAGGATTGCTGAGAGACTTGGGTATTCCGGTGCAGCAAGCTTACTCTATTTGCTTACTTGCTTCATTGCTATTTATTTTTTGTGGGCCCGATATAATCAGTTGTCTGCTTCTCTATTATCTACGAAATTAATTGACGAACGAGCCATGAATATTTTTGTTAATTTTGTCACTATATGCTCAATCCTGCATTGATTTCATCATCCCCCACCCCGCCGGAAAAAGAAGAAGAAGAAGAAGCTGTTGGCGATTACATGCAGATGTGCATGAATGTGCGTTAAAATAAGATTGTAGAATGTTGAAGTGAGGTTCATGTTTTTAACTTTTTCGTGTTTTTCTTTAAATTTTATAATAGATGAATACTATTATATTTGTCATGACACCACATCGATATAAACCTCCTGGCAAACACACAATTATGTGAGATATGAACTTTAGACAGATGGATTAGGGAAATTGCATTCAAGAGTAAGTTTTTCAGATTTTCTCATTAATTAATGTGTACTATGATGCATTTTTTTATTCTAGTTATTTGTACCTTTTCTCCCTTTCTAGCCATTTACTTCGTCCAGTCATTTTCTGAATCTGCTACACTGCTTTTCTCCGTTTCTTCTCTTGATTTCTTTTTCTCTCTTTTGTTTGGCTTTTCACCATGTTGATATGTTTCTATTGACTATGTGAAGATCAATAACGAGGTCTCATGTCCTCTTGCAGAGCCCTTCATCATCTAGAAGTTCAGCTCGTGGAATATTTTGTAGCCGCACATTGAATCTACGGTCAATTAGTGCCATTGGATATGATATGGACTACACCTTGATGCATTATAATGTCATGGTAATTATAAAGTTGAGTTTTGAATGATTAAATAGCTGGTGTAAAATATTGAAATCTTAACTTCTATGCTACAAATATGATCTCTTTTGTATATTCTACGTACTTATAAACAAGCAGCTGCAAGATCTTGGAGATTTTGCATTGGGTGATGCTGATGAACTATTAAAATAGTCTTGTTTATGTGAATGTGTGTTCTTTGTTTGACTTTTACTTTTCATTTTACAGCTTGTGTAGCATCTGCAAAGGTTTGTAGTTCTTTAGCCCCTACTCTGCTGAAAGCCCGTATTCTTGTGTGTTTAAATCCTCAGCACCGGAGTTCAGATTGTGGAATGAGTTTTAACGAGGATATTTTATTGTTTTCTGTTGCTGGAAACTGTAGGCTTTTCTTATTATTCAGATCTGTGGAAATTTCTGATGTGGATATACTTTACAGGCCTGGGAAGGACGGGCTTATGATTACTGTATGGAAAACCTTAAGAATATGGGTTTCCCTGTTGATGGACTTGCATTTGATCCGGACCTGGTAATGTGTTATCCCTTGCAAGCTTAAGGCATTTAAGAAATTATGCAATTTGATTGAATCGGGATCATGTCTTATCTTTCTAAGTGAGCTATGCACAATAAATTGCTCAGGTTATTAGAGGTCTTGTAATTGACAAGGAGAAAGGTAACCTGGTTAAGGCTGATCGATTTGGTTACATTAAGAGAGCTATGCACGGGACCAAAATGTTATCTAATAGAGCCTTGAGGTATGCATTGACCCCTTTGATCTTGATCATGCAAAACCTTGCTAGAGGACTCCTTGCTAACTTAACACGCTTGTTTTATACAATACATAAATTCAGGCAACCTGTCAGAGTGCATTCTAGATTTTCTTGAATGTTGTTAAGCATGAGCTATTCATGAATGATGAATGTTGATATAATGTTGTGGTAAGTTCAACTGCCACAAGAATGTTCTAAGGTATCATACCTTAGGTTTCTGTCAAGTACAGTGTTCCATCCTCTGAAATAAGCCTAGATTTGTGCATCATTATACACCTGAACATGGATTATTTGCTGTTGTTGCCTCAGACTGTTTTGTGTTAGAACCTCTTTGCAGCTAGATGTATATTTATGTTTCGATAACTTAGTGAATACTCTTTATCACAAACTGGAGTAATAGCTTCTGTAGTGCTTCTTAATTTTATATGCATGGAAGTGAGATGTATGGGAGAGAACTGGTGGACCTGAAGCAGAACCGATGGGAGTTTCTCAATACATTTTTCTCTGTCTCTGAAGCTGTGGCCTACCTGCAGGTATCGAGGAACTACTGTTGACAACAGCTAAACTTTGTGACAAGATATATTCTGCTGTGATGCTTATTTTGCATTTCGGGTTAGATCTTAGCTTTTGCATCATCTTTTGATTACAGTGATGTGAAATGAGTTATATTGCTATCTTTACATTTGAGGATTGCTACCATGTTTTATGAGCCGTAATGGGATAAATTGGAAGTCATGAAAACAGCCAGTCTCCTGTACCAGATGTCATTTTTATATAGTTTTCCAAGAGTTTTATTTTTGCAAGAGGTAAAATAATCAAGTTAGAGTTTGGACTTTAAATGAATTTCCCTAAAGCCATAATGCTTCCCTCTAATGCTACTTTGTTTTTAGCGTTAGCACCTTTGTTTTTCTGCCAACTTGAGAGGTTCTGTGTCTGATTGGGATTAACCTTCATTGATAAGATATGCTCCTTTTCAGATGGTTGACAGATTGGATGGTGGGGTTATTTCACCAGATCTTGGTCCACTTGATTATAAAGGTCTTTACAAGGTAATTGGTTTTTTGAACAGTGTGTTTGCTTATAGATGTTCTTTTTTTAATATTGGCATGGCTTTCAGGCTGTTGGAAAAGCTCTGTTCAGGGCACACGTAGAAGGTCGTCTCAAGGTGAAGTTCATATCTGAATCTAGTTTAACTTTAAATGTTATAGTGTATCGGTACGAACTGATTATATGATTATTTATTTATTTATTTTTTTTGGTGTAGAGTGAAATTATGTCTAAGCCTGAACAGTTTGTGGAGCCTGATCCTGAATTACCTTTGGCACTTTTGGATCAGAAGGAGGTGTGGCCTGTGATTTGTTTTCAGAAATAGCACATGATATTCTTTGACTTCTTACGTAGGTATCTTCATGAAACAGGCTGGGAAAAAGCTTCTGCTTATAACCAACTCAGACTATCTTTATACAGACAAAATGATGCGGCATTCCTTTAATAGATTCCTTCCCAATGATATGGGTTGGCGAGACCTATTTGACATTGTAAGTACTGTATTTATGCTTGGAGAGACTTAAATTTTTTTGGGGTGGGGAGGGGGGGATGCCCTTTTGTAATCGAGGAATGAAAATAGCCAGCATCTTATGTGTCATGTTGCCTTAAACCAGCAACCTCACGCATTTTGGAATTGGTCTTGCATTATAAATGTGTTTTATTTATGGATAGGTAATTGTCTCGGCAAGGAAACCAGAATTCTTTCAAATGTCACACCCCATGTATGAAGTGGTGACTGGCGAGGGTCTTATGCGTCCATGCTTTAAGGCAAAAACTGGTAATTATTATTCTGCTCCTTGATCTTAAAGGTCAAAGCTATGCATTTATTGTTTTACACGTCTTATAATTTACTTTTCCTCATAAACATTTGAGCCTACTGCTAGCTCCTTCCTTGTAGAAAAAGGTGAGGGAGGGATGAGTTATAGATTGTAAACTTGTTTGCCCCCTTGTTAATCTGAAAATGACTAATTTGAAGGAGAAAGTCTCTTACAATTTATTCTTTAACATGACCATCTTCTGTAGGGGGTTTATACTCAGGGGGAAGTGCACAGATGGTTGAAAATTCTTTAGATATCCATGGCGATGAGATATTGTATGTTGGTGACCACATTTACACGGATGTTAGTCAATCCAAAGTCCATTTACGTTGGAGAACAGCGTTAATTTGTCGAGAGCTGGAAGAAGAGGTTAGTACATTCAATTTTTGTTTGACACGATCTTTCTGAATTAGTTAAGCAGAACTATGCCCTCCAGAGTCCAGGTCTGTGCTGTTGGACTTGGGTAAAATGATATGATAACTTTTTGAATTTGATGTCAGAATGCATATGCATTTGCTGCATGATCTATACTTGACACGGGAAATATTTATGAAAGTATTCCCTGATATGTCAGACTTCATTGTTGTTGTGCCTTTATTGGTTTCCAACCATGAGATGACCTTGTGGCTTGTGCTTTACAAAAATGCTAAAACTGCAGTATAGTGCACTGATTCAAAGCCAGAGTCATCGAACTAGGTTGGTGGAGCTTATAAATCAGAAGGAGATTGTAGGGGATCTCTTTAACCAACTTCGGCTAGCTCTGCAAAGGCGAGATCATTCGCGTCCTGCTCAAGTAAGTTGGATCCTATATACTCCCTCAGATCTTTTTTGTAAATCACTTCTAACTAATTGATCAAAATCAAGGTGAGTTAGTTTGAATAATAAAATTGTCTTAAAAATAAATCACTTTCCAATTTTGTCTTTAGATTTAAAAAAGCGTGATTTGATGTGTAAGAAGAGTTTTCTTGGAAATTGAAATGTTGCATTTCTTTTTAAAATTTGCTAGAGGATACTTCTGGAATTTTACATTAAATGTTACAAAAAACAAGAGAAAGTAACTTGTATAAAGGACCAAGAAAACTTTATAGAATGTGACTTATAAAAGTACCAAAGGGAGTATATATGTATATATTCTTCTTTTTATTTGCTGTTGCTGAAAGGGTTAAAGCAGAAGGCTTTAAAGAATTTTCCTTCGCATTTTATGTTTGCATCTTTAGCAGTTTGTCTTTGATGCTGCAATTGTTCTGTTGCCTCGTTCAGTTTACTTTAGTTTAACACTCTGAATCTAAATCTATTAACTGAAATTGAATGGGCCATTACTCTTATGTCTTATGCATCAGTAAATAATTGAGCTTTGTTCTTACAATGTTAACAGACTTGTTTGTTTGTTGGAATTCTTATTATTACTCCTCTCTTGAAAATTACTCCAAAACATTGTGCACCTGATCTGAAGTGTAACCTAATCTAATTGTAGAGTTCTCAATTTAGTCATTGAATGCACGCAAGTCTGGTTCTTTTTTCTTTAAAAAAAAAAATGTTTGCAAAGGCCATTGCATTGTTACTTCGTGGCCAAAATTGAAAATGGAAATGCTATTCAAAGGGTGGCAGTATAATTTTTTCTCTGTACCGTACTTGAAGACACTTGCTGCAACTGGTTTGGATGATGAAGACCTCACTGAAAGCATGCAAAAATTACTTATTGTTATGCAAAGATTGGATGATAAAATTGCTCCAATGCTGGAGGCAGATGGGGAGCTCTTCAATATAAGGTAAGCTCAGAATTATTTATTCCAACCAATTTTTTTTTTTTTTTTAGAATTTGAAAGATTTCTGAGATAAATCGATGCATCCAGCATTTGAATAACGTCCTTCATTCTTATAAAGCAAAGATGAAAGATCTTAGTTCATCACCCTGTCCAACACTTATTTTTTTTTTTCCCTTGGGTGGCTTCTGGTTACCTTTCAGTGGATATCCTTAAACAAACTATGGCGTAACTTCCGGTATCTATCTATATTATTAGGTGGGGCTTCCTGTCACGTGCCGGTCTGTGGGACAAAAGCCATTTGATGAGACAAATTGAGAAGTATGTGCTTCCCTAAGATGCCTCTTAATCCCTCGTACATCACTGTGCACATGGCTTTGACAAAACTCAGGAACATTTTTTGCTTTTCTTTAGAACTGAGCTGCTTAACTTTATTTATTTTGATTTCAGATATGCTGATATATATACATCTAGGGTGTCAAACTTTCTAAACTACACACCGTTCATGTATTTCCGCTCGCAAGAGCAGGTATTTGGATCACCAACCTCGAGTCATCCAAATAACACACGAGGTTACTACTATCTGGGGTTTGATCTGGTCTATTATTCATGCTTCTTTTTCTTGTGCAGAACCTTGCTCATGATTCCTACTCAAACTACTGCTCACATTTTAATGGGTCGTCTTCATGAGAGAGAGAATGCAAGTGAAGAGAAAGGAAAATAGTAAATAAAAGTCTGCTTTTGACAAAAGCAGCAGATGTTTACTGTGACTGTATGATATGCTGTCATGATGATGATAATGATGATATCTTAAAAGTTTTTTTCGGAGAATTGATATCATGTTTAGTGAGGACACCGACAATGATTCACGCCACTAGGGTCCCTTGACTTGAATTAGCGATGTCACAATCTGAAGCTTGAAGAAAAAGAACACAATGAAACAGCCACAAAATGTGTATCAGGTTTACAGAACATTTATGGGCTTCTGTTGATCAAACTTGTACCTTCATCTGTGTCCAAATGAATTTTATTTCCGCCAATCCTTCCTTCTACGTAGTCTTCAGTAGTGCTAGTGAACTGACAGTATAATGGGCCAGTTTTATTGAATATATGCTATCTATTTGATTAAATATGAATTGCCTTATGTTTGGTCAAAATTTCGTTTACACATCTATAAAAAGAAAAAGAAAATAGCCGAATTCGAAATGAATTAACTAAGCCTTAATATAAAATCAGGTAAAGGTTGGACCAGAACAAACGTTGGATTTATAATCCAAGATAGAATGAGTCGTGTTCTTGCTTAAGATTCGACTTCGAATCATAACAATGGGCATTAAGTATCGGATAATTATCGGGTAATTTATATATATTTTTAATTATACACCTATTTTATTTATGGTTCCTTTTGAAAAAATATTAACTAGAATTTTAATTGCCATTATTAGTATATTTATTTATATGAGGTATTTAATGAGAATATAATTAAAAGATTGACATTTGAAAAAAAATATTAATGTTTCAACTAATTTTTTAGAACAGTTAAATAATTATCAAGTATATATTTGATAAAAAAAACAATAAAGCAAACCAAAATGAAAAATGATATTTTTGATCTTATTTATAAATTATTGTTAACATGTTTAATGGGAGTCCAGAAAAAATTTAAAATTTATTGATTATGTTTAAATTTTTAGCTTTACCTCTGTTATATATATATATATTGTAACATTATATTTTTTCTCAGTTATATTTAATAGAAATAAAAAAGTTTATAATAAAAATTTAATAATATAATTTATAAATATGGTAAAATAATCTTCTCTCCTCGAGAGGAAGTGGATGGGATCATTATTTGTTGCTAAATGAGACAAACCAGCGCCTCCATGGGGTGAGAGAGGCGAGAAACACGTTGCTTTGACTAGCGACGTTTGTACATCTATACAAGCGCCTTGGGGCCCATTCGTCAACGTGTAAATGAATCTAAGACCGTTAAAAAGTCAAGTCTAAACAGATGTATGACAGATCAACGGCTCCAAACACAGTATCCATAATAGCCTCCTGAGACGGCTACTACGACGACGTAAGAGTCGTACGTCCAGTTTCAATCCGCCCCTTCTTGCCGATTTGGGCATGCGCTAGTGCCTCTCGCTCTCTCCGATTGGTTCGGCTGGGAAGAGCAGAAAAGTCTCCAACTTTAGCGTCGTGGGAGACCGAGCAGAAGAAGGAAGATCGTCTAAGGGGTTTGCATCTGCCTGGCTTTCCGGTAAGTATCTTCGTTCTGTTCCTTTCCGCTCCAGTTGATTAGGGTTAGTTTCCTGTTTTGTAATGATTGTACGCACGTTTGAAAGTTCTTTGGAACGTCCGAGGGAAACTTTTGTTTTGGCCTTTATCAGGATGATAGATTTTTTGTTGCGTCCCTGTGTTATTTTGGTGGAAAGAAATTGATTTTTAAACACGGAATTCTATCAGCAATCATAAAATGGTTTATGTGAGTCTTGCATCTAAATGGTTTATTTCTTTTCTATACTGTGTTAATGTGTAATGATTGGGGATTCAGGGCAGTGAATGCAGGTCCTCTTTTGTTTTCCCACGGGCATTTGCTGTTGGAGGTTCAAAATGTCGAATGCAGACAACTTCAGGGTTTGTTGCCTATGAAATTAAGCATTGAGAAATAAGTTTGTCTTGCTAGTGGTGTTCTTTTTTTGCAACTAGGCCATGGCTACAAAAAAAGTTATAGCTATATGTCAATCAGGAGGTGAGTTTGTGACGAATAGGGATGGATCATTGTCATACAATGGGGGTGAGGCCTACGCAATAGACATTGATTCAACTACGCAATTGAGTGATTTCAAGTCTGAGGTAGCAGAAACGTTCAACTTCAATGTAGATACAATGATTATCAAGTACTTCCTTCCTGGCAACAAGAAAACTCTTATTACTGTATCAAAAGACAAGGACTTGCAACGCATGATCAATTTCCTGGGTGATTCTGCCTCAGTTGATGTGTTCATTATATCAGAGGAAGCAGAAGCTCAGAATACATCTAATATGCCTCGTAGTAGGTAGTTATTCACAATTCTTGGTTGTCCATCTCTCCTTTTGTTTCCACCTGTCATAAATAATTCTGTAGATCTATTTTGTCCGAAGTTGCAAAAATCACATCCAGGTTATGAGTTCATAGATTGTAATTTGTTGGAATACATTTTTTCTCGCTTTTTCCAGGTGAACAGATATAGGTATTCTGGGGTCATACCTGTTCTTGTATGCTGTTTAAAAAAAATCTTATAAAATACTTGTCAGTGCAGGTTAGGAAGGGCTACAGTATCAGAAGCCGTTCCTGTTGCTGCCCCTGTTGATGTTCCAGTTGATACTGTCCATGACATTGAGCAAATTGAGCTGGACGTGAATGATGGTGTTCCTTTATCTTGTATTCCAGCCTGTGCCTTGGATGACAAGCATCAAAAAGCTGTTCAGCAGTGGGAAAATACCATCACTGGTGTGGATCAAAGGTTTAATAGTTTTAGTGAATTCCGAGAAGCATTGCATAAATACTCTATTGCCCATGGGTTTGCCTACAGATATAAAAAAAATGACAGTCATCGTGTCACTGTAAAATGTAAATCTCAAGGTTGCCCTTGGAGGATCTATGCATCAAGGCTGACCACTACCCAATTGATTTGCATCAAGAAAATGAACACAAAACATACTTGTGAGGGGGCTGCTTTGAAAGCTGGGTATCGGGCAACTAGGGGTTGGGTGGGAAGTATCATAAAAGAGAAATTAAAAATCTCCCCTAACTATAAGCCAAAGGATATTGCAGATGACATAAAGCGTGAGTATGGGATTCAGTTAAATTATTCTCAAGCATGGCGTGCAAAAGAGATTGCTAGAGAGCAGCTACAAGGCTCCTATAAAGAGGCATATACTCAGCTACCATTTTTCTGTGAGAAAATAAAAGAGACTAATCCTGGGAGTTTTGCAACGTTTACAACTAAAGAGGACTCAAGCTTTCATCGTCTCTTCATATCATTTCATGCCTCAATATGTGGTTTCCGGCAAGGTTGTCGTCCTCTCCTTTTTCTTGATAGCACTCCTTTAAACTCAAAGTACCAAGGGGATTTATTGTCTGCAACAGCTGCAGATGGGAATGATGGCATCTTTCCTGTAGCCTTTGCTGTTGTAGATGCAGAGACTGAGGACAACTGGCATTGGTTTCTGCAGGAGTTAAAATCAGCGCTATCAATATCTGAGCAAATGACATTTGTTGCTGATTATGAGAAGGGTTTAAAAAAATCACTGGCTGAAATATTTGAAAAATGCTACCACAGTTATTGTTTACGTCACCTGGCTGAAAAACTGAACAAGGACTTGAAAGGTCAGTTCTCTCATGAGGCAAGACGCTTCATGGTTAATGATCTTTATGCTGCTGCTTATGCACCCAAAATGGAGGTTTTTGACCATAGTATTGAGAACATTAAAGGTATTTCTCCTGAAGCCTACAGCTGGGTCATGCAAAGTGAACCAGAGAACTGGGCAAATGCATTTTTTGCTGGAGCTAGGTATGATCATCTAACATCCAATTTTGGACATCAATTCTACAGTTGGGTGTCAGAGGCGCATGAATTGCCAATTACTCAAATGGTTGATGTATTGCGAGGAAAGATGATGGAAGCAATTTACACACGTCGTGTGGAGTCCAATCAATGGGTGACAAAATTGACCCCATCCAAGGAGGGAATTCTTCAAACTGAATCTTCAGTTGCACGGTCATTTCAGGTGTTGCTCTTACAGGGTAGTACATTTGAGGTCCGTGGAGAATATGTAGAGATTGTTGATGTTGACCGTTGGGATTGTACCTGCAAGAGATGGCAAATTTCTGGGTTGCCTTGCTGTCATGCTGTTGCTGTCATTGAGTGCATTGGTAGAAGCCCATATGATTATTGTTCCAGATACTTCTCTGTTGAGAATTACCGGTTAACATATGCAGAATCTATTCATCCTGTACCAAGTGTAGACAGACCAGACTATGATTCAAGTACAGCAGTAATTGTAACCCCTCCACCAACCAAGCGACCTCCAGGTCGGCCAAAGATGAAGCAGGCTGAATCAGTAGACATAATTAAACGTCAGCTGCAATGCAGTAATTGCAAGGGACTTGGCCACAATAAGAAAACATGCAAATTTTTGTTGGAAGCGTGATAGCATTGTAAGTGGTAGTTCACTCCTTCTGTGTACATGCTCCTTTCCATGTTTGACTTTGAAATAGTATATGACTTTTATGCATTCACATGGCCTGTCAAGTTAACATTAAATGAGCAAGTTGACTGACTGAATTCATGTGGATTCCTGTTGGCATCTTTAGGACATGTCGGTTAGTTAGGGTTTTTTGGTTGTTCACTTTGTCTTAAGCTGATATATCAGCTTGGAATTTTTTTTTTTTGTTATAGTCCTACCTTTTAATTGAGTAACAAGACAATGGTGAAAGATTCAGTTACAAATAAATGGAGATTGGGATGTAGTCATGTCTTTTTGGTGTTATTGTTTAGGTTGTTCAGCTTCTTAAGCAAATTATAGTTCGAGATTGAAATGTTGAAGTATTCATTTTTAGTGAATGTAAATATTAGTATATCTATATTACATGGTTACTTTTGCTGGTAACAGAGATATGATTGGTTGTAATTAGAGACGAACTCCATTGGACGCCATATTCAGATTCAATTTCGTTGCTATCAGTTTGATGAGAAGGGGGAATAGTTCATAGTTTCATACTCCCTCTGGCTTCCTTCATAAAAGATTATAAATAATAAAGTCAAGTATGCATGACAGAAGTGGAGCTTTAAGAACATTTTGCTATCTTTATTAATGTGTCATGTCATTTAACGCCTGTCAGGACATTAAAATGGGTCAATCTGAAATAACTAGAGGGAGAGAAGCTCATAAGATAGCCTTAATTTGGCATGCTGGCTATTTCTATATTTGGTTTCTTTCCCCATTGCATCCTTAATATCAAGTTGTCTTCCCAATCTACATGATGTTTGCTCTTTTTACGTGCCTACACATTTCTGTCCTTAGTGTTACTATTTGCTGAAAATACAAGGGTACAGAATGTAACATGTGTGCCATGAGGGAT